AAAAAAAAGATTAGAATTAGGGTTTGAAAAGAGTTTTTAAAAATGTAGAACATTTTTACTTAGAACATCTCATACTAATTAATTAGCCAGTTTTGAAATAATATATATATAAGTGTAAAATACCATAGGCGCATTTTAGTAAAATTCTTTTAAAAAATACTTAAAACTATTATAATTTTATATACAATTATATAGATTTAAAATATTTTAAAATAATATTTAAATAAATGAAGTTAAGTCAATAGAAATCAAGCAAATTTTTTTTAATAAAATGTTTTTTAACTTTAAAAAAAAATAAAAAAAAATTTGATCAAATTTGATAAAAACTTTTTTAAATTAATTCTATAAGTTTATAAAATTATTTTAAATCAAAATTTAAGGTTTGTTAAGTTATTTTGTTCAAAGTTCTAAAAAAATTATATTATAAAAAATTTGCTTGATTGTTATTGATTCACCCCCAATATGATTATTTTATAATTGTTATACGATTATTATAAGATTATTTTAAGATAATTATTACAAAGACTAAGATTATTATAAAATTATTATAAATTTAATATAAAATGATTATAAAATTATTATTAAATTATAAAATTATTGTAAGATCATAAAATTATTAAAGGATTATTATAAGATATATTTTAAATAATAGCTAAGATTATAATAAAACCATAAAAAAAAATTTTGCATATTCTGTAAAGTACGTGGATGGATATTTAATTGATCCCGTTTTCAGTAAAGTGTAAAATATTTGGGGTAAAGGTAAGCACAATCAGGTTTTCAATTTGGATAATCAAGTATTTTTATTCGAATAGAATATTCGTTGATCGAATATTCGTTGAATACAAATATTATTTGAATAGTAAATATGAATCCAAAGCTTTGTGGTAGGGACTATTTTGGACTCATTAAATCGCATATAGGTAGAGATGCGATCCGTTTATATATAAACTCCCGGTTCGAACCGGTTTTATATATAAAAAACGGATACGGATCACATCTCTACATATAGGTATTCAGTGAAGTAGTACTGTACGCTAGTACAGATTCGGGCGCGGACATACGAACATTATACTAAATTTTGATAGTACGTACGGTTAATATATAGACTTGCATAATTACCCGTTTTTTATGGTTAGGGTTGAGTGAGCGCTAGTATTGTCCTTTTTTCATGGTAGGGTAAGTAGTAAAAATAACATGGGAACCATACGTACTATCATGATTTCTACATACCGTACTACTTTACTACGTATATACTCTCTTTATATAGAATTTAGACCCGTCAGATCTTGAATTGAATTGTTCTCAAGATTGACCTTATCTACGGGACGGTTTCACCCGGAATCAAGGTCATTGTTGTGACCATCAATACCCATAATTTGATTAGTAATCAGAATAGAAATACAGTGAAGCCAACTATATTTCGTTCTACATATTAGGTTAATAGGTTAATGGTTTAGATTAATGATAAGCCCAATGACAGATTTAACAAGTTAATGCTAATTCAGCCCACAGTGCGACAGTAACGATAAGCCGACACGAGACTATCCAAATATGAGTTATCAGATCAAATGATTCAAATATAGTACGTAATAGACATTTTATCAGATCGAAATGTCCAAATATGGTATGCATTTTACATTATCAGATTTGAATAATTAAAAATAATACACGAATCTACCCGTATGTTGTTATCCAAGTTAATGATATTTATTATTTCTATCGTTATTGACATTTTTCTATAAATAAACGGTTTATTCAAAGCAGGACCATAAAATGACTTTATCCCCCGCTCAAAGAGCAAATTTTGCTACCATATCTCGTCTTTTATCCTGTGTTATTAATGAACACCTTGTTGAAGCCTTTTATTACCCATTTCAACATGATCCCCCCGAATTTATCAATTCTTTTGCAGAATCGTCCGTAAATCACGGTGTTATTTTCGTCCTACCAGAAAATAATAAATCCCTGTCTATGGATATCAAAAATATTATTATCATTTCCATGTTGCATGAACCGATTCTTTCACAAGAACAAGATAATATTTCAACGTTAGCAAAGGTTGACTTTGTGGATCCTTGGGATATGTCTGCGCCAATCTATCAGATCAAATACAGTCCTTTTCAGCTTGTAAATCTTGATGAGTTGAAATCATTTTTAGCTCGTCCTATAAATGAAAGTGAAGAAATTAGTCCATCTGAGTTTATGAGTTTATTGGGTGTATGGATGAATTTAGATAACGATGATCTTATCAGCTCATTATGTGCTGAATTAGATAATTCTGTTAAATATCAAGGTATAACATGAATTAATCAAGCTTTCGAGATACAATTAATAATATTATAATTACTCTTGATAGAATATACATATAGAAATCCAAAACCAACGCCTTCCTTACTCTCTTCTAGTGTAGAATGGGAACAAAGTTTGATAGAAGGTCATGCGTTACATCCGGTAATTCTCATTAATATCAGATAAATATCTAATTTATAACAAATTCAAATTTTTTATATTTTACGTCCGAAAGATGCATAAAACACGATTTGCCTTACCGCCAATTCCGGAAATATTGCCCGGTACCTACGACTTTCTAAAACCAACAATAAGATTTGTCGAAGTGCCGCGTGATAAAGCACATTTACGTGGTAATTGGGAAGAAGCCCTTAACTGTCTCTTAGACATCATGGAACAAAGACCACCTTGTTCGCCAAACTCGGTTCTATTCCCGGCTCACGAGCTTCAATTACCAAATATAAAAGAAAAATTTCCTTATGCCAAGATTCTTCCAATTGATTATTCAATCCAAGCCTATAGTCAAGCTTCACTTCGAACTCTTGTAGTTCCAGGTGTTCCTGGATTTGCTTTTAAACTTGCCTTAGGTATAAAAGTATCTTCAGCGATGCGTACTGTTTCGCCATGGACCACACATACCGGCCCAGAGTTCATACCAATTTTCAAAAAGCTATGCATTAACAAAGAGATACTTAAAATTGCGAATGCCGTTGCTACTGCAACTGTTACCGAACAGAATTATGATATAGCAAAACATCTAAGCTGCATAATTCGTGAAGACTTTAGTGATCTAAATGAAAAAGTGATCATTTGTGCTGCATTAACTGAAAGGGATGAGAATGGTATTAGTGTTGTAGAAAAAGTTTGGAAATTAGATACTGAAGAGAAACGTATTAAATTTTTCAGAAGGTAAAAAAATATATTAATACTGTTTTATCATATTGTTACATAGCTGTTTTTAACTTTACTTTACAATTATAGATACTCTTGGCTTTTATTCAGTGCATTTTTGCCACCTGCGTTGCATAATGGTTTTTCCTTCGAAGCGGTATGAACTATCCCTATAATGTTTATTTATAAAAATAATAATCGCTAATAATGAAGCCATTTCTATTTTATAAGCATTCACAAAATGTCCTTGCTCGCTTTGATCCTTCTAGTGGGCAACTTATTGGCTTTGTGGTTCGGGATTTCGGTGGTATTAAACACCATCAAGATACGTTATTTGCGAGCACTGGATTACGTGCTAACGTATTAAAAGATAATTGCACTGAAGCCAAGGATTTGGTTGAGGTTAGTCTCGAAATTTTGCGACAAATTATCAAGCCTTCCTTACTAATCAATTCTTCTATTTCAGGTTTACACATTGCTTTACCATACTTTAATTTTGTGCCATATATATCGTTTAATTCGTGCATTAAACCTCCATTATTCTGGTGTTGGTTGGAAAATTGTTAGAGAACATCTTTCAGAAATCATTCCTCGTAATCATTTGTTGTGGAAATTATGGTTGGAGAACAAAACAACTAAAATGAAATGTTTTGTTCGAATGAAATGTGAAAGTCTATATAGAGATGTAAGTTTTTCTTGACATTATGTCAAATTTTGAAATGTTTATGAATATTGGTTTATTTACCGAAATTATCATAATTTATTTAGTACATATATAGTCCGAGCCCTAACTTAATACTTTATAATTACGAAAATGAAAAGTGATCAAAGCTATGACTAGTCACTAAAACATGACGTTACTAAATTTAGAAAATTATATCTATTGAGGTAATCTTAGATTTAGAATTAGATTAGAAACCACCTTTACCTCAAATGTAAAGGGATTTAGTTCTCTTCAATATCCTGTAACTTCATGCTTTTTTTAGATAGTATATAATAAGAATGGTGATCTTTAAAGAAAGCAAAGCTTTGTTTGTTTTGTCTAAAATTGAAGAAAATATTCTACTTTTAATTTATAAATTGTAATAATTATTGTACCGATATTACAAGGTTGGTATGTTACGCGTAATTTTCGATTATCAATTGACGTGTCATTTGCCGATTGAAAAATGACTCAGGAGATTCTTAATGCAAATCATGACAATAGCGGTGATTACGCTAATGTTTATCGTTATAATAAAGTTAGATAAAAATAATAAATTTTAGTTTTTTTCCTGTCGTATGCTTCATTTTTTCTTATCTATTTGAATCGATACTTTTTCTCTATTTATTATAGTTGAACCGATCTTTATTGCTGTGTATTATAAATATGTTTTCAACACACTGATTTACTTCGTGACTCGTGAACCTTTGATCGAATAAGCATTAGAGACCTTCGAAAAATAAGCAAAGTTTGACGGGTAGAAGTTGCTACAACGAGTATCTAAACGTACTAAAATTCCGGCTCTTCAGTGCAACTAGGGTGCGGGACGGGCCGGATCGGGTCGGGCCTGCTCAGACCCGAAACTCAACCCGAAAATTCGAGGTAGGAACGTCCCGAGTGCCCCGAGTTTGTAGATCGTTACACAATTTATTAATGATTTTTTTTTATACGT